AAAGGTATTTTCCTTCGGGTTGAAGTCTTGGAGTGCGGTATCTCCGAGCAAGTGTATTGAGGCTCGTGGGACTCGAGTTCTCAGGTTGTAACGGTTTGTTAAGCACCCGTAAGCTTAACGGAAGTAGTGTAGCTCGAGAGAGTCTCTCGGGAGGCTGGATTAGCCACAAGTTGTGGTGAACCAGGGTAAATCTTGGTGTGCTCCCTTTACTCCTTTTTATTCCGCTCTTTACTTTATCCCTGCGATTTTTATTCCGCAAAAATTTATAAACATTCTCGTGCCTCACTATTCACCCCCCCTCTAGTGAAGGGAGCTTATTCTAACAATTGGTATCAGAGCCTGGTTCGCGTCCAAACTTAACCGTTTGAGAGTAAAGCGATCATGGGTTCTTCTTCTAGAAATCTTTATGCAGGGATTGGAGAAGGTCAATCAACTACACGACCACCTCTTTTTGATGGAACCAATTATACATATTGGAAAGAACGAATGAGAATCTATATTCGTTCCACGAACTTCCAATTATGGTTGGTTATCAAAAACGGGGAAGAGGTGCCGATGAAGAAAGTCGGAGACAAGTTGATCCCCAAGACCGAAGATGAGTTTGATGCCGAGGACATCAAAAAGGTCGAGAATTACGCAAAGGCAATAAATATGCTTTATTGTGCCGTAAATCCTGATGACTACCGCAAGATCTCCTGCTGCTCAACCGCCAAGGAGATGTGGGATAAACTTGAGGTGACGTACGAAGGAACGGACCAAGTACGTGAAGCCAAGATTGACTTCCTCACCCAAGAATATGAGATGTTCAGGATGAAGGAGCATGAGAAGATTGACGACATGTTCGACCGATTTTCCAAGATAGTCAACGATCTTCATGCATTAAAGAAGACGTACACCGATAGGGATCTTGTGCGAAAGATCCTACGAAGCTTGACATCCGAATGGCGATCCAAGGCCGATGCCATCTATGAATCAATCGGCACATCAAATGTCACCATCGATGGCCTAAGAGGTAATCTAAAATTCTATGAATCGACTATTCTTAATCCGTCTTTGAATGACCAAAGGAAAGGGATAGCACTAAAAGCCGTCAAAGAATCGACGATGGATGATTCAAGTGACGATGATGAAGTCAAACTTGTCATGAAGAAGTTCTGCAAACTTCTAAGAAAGAAAGAAAAGGTTGAGGATGGCCCTGTGTGCTATGGATGTGGAGAAGCCGGGCACATCAAGAACAAATGCCCAAGGAATGATCGACACTTCAAAAGGCAAAGGGCATATATCTCTTGGGGTGGAGACTCCGGCGACGAGTCAACCGACCAAGATGAGGATGAAGTTGCCAACCTCTGTCTCATGGCACACGAAGACCAAACCGACGATGTACAAGAGGTATGTACCATTTCTTCCGACTCTTACACTTTTGAAGAAATGCAAGAAGCACTTCACGAACTTTATGATGAATTTGTTAGCGCTTCTAAACTCAACAAATCGTTAAAGAAACGCCTTTCCACTCTTGAAAATGATTTT